TTTTAATAGCTCCTGGTAGTTGATGGTGTGTCAAGACCTATCACTGTACCAAAGAGGGGGGGAGTAGCTCAGTCAGGACTTAATTCAGGGTGATTAAAAGCTGCTGCCTGAGGGTTTGGCTTCCACAGTATGCACATATGTATCATCTTGTGGGAGCCAGGTGATAGGGAGGTGTCCCTTAGACACAGTAGTAAAAATTGGGGCTCCAGCTGAGTAGATAAGTTGCTTACTGGAATATACCAGCAAGCTGTAATAACACAAAGATGGTATTGCCCCACCTTACATGGTTTGAGAGCATTTCCATAGGTCTCTAGAAGAGTGCCAGATCTGAGGCCTGCCCTGCAGCAGGTTGAAGCTCCAGGATAAGTAAATAGGCTCTTTTACAAAAGGAAGAGGATATGTGTTTCAGTCTGCTATCTGGAACAGGCAGTGAGAGCACAAAAGATAGCGCCTGCCCTCCAATGTCCCTGGTAAGGTTTACAGTTAATCCTTAGATGTATGTTTAAGTAGAAGCCTGCCCCTCAGGCTGTAGCCGTGATGATAAACTTATAAGACCTCTTTCACTGGAAGACTGAGCTGCTTGGGTCTATTGCCTGTTTAAGACCTTTTTCACCATTGGTTCCAGTCTTATGGAACCTGTGAGCATTGCCCTGCTGGCCACCAGAGCCAGGCAATGTACAGGTGTGCCATGGCAGCAGCTGCAAAAATCAGGGTGCCCGACAAAGGTATAAGCTCCTTTTTGCGATATGCCATCAAACTGGGGCAGGGCAGAGGGGGGAATGTAAAGACTCTTTCCATCAGCCATAGGCCCTAGATGTATGCCAGACCAGAAGCTTTCTCCTTAGGCCAAAGCTCTTGTACAACCAAATAGGTGTTTTTCTTAGAAAAAACTCAGACTGCTATCTGTACAGTACCTTGGTACAGTCTCATGGCACCCAGGAATGCAAGCCCCTCGGGTTCCAGAGCCACACAAAGGGCATCCCTGGGCAGCAGCTGTAAACACTAAGTACAAGATACAGGTAAAAAGCTGCCTTCCAGGAGATACTGGTGCTCTGGAGCTCAGAAGAGGAAGAACACGAAGATGGAACCCACCAGCCTCTTACAGGTGATGCATTAAGATGAGCAAATGAATCTTTCACATGAAGTCTGCTTTTCAGAGGGCTGCTTCTGCACTGGACCCTGTGGCAAATGAGTCCCTGCAAGCCCTTTAGGAGCTGTTGGTTCACTGTAGCCCTTTGGGTCTCTTGAATGTGAGCACTGTTGGGTTTCCATAGCCAGATGTTTTGGAGGCTCATCGCTCAGGTGCAAGTCTTAAAAGCTGGTTGTACCCTGTTTGAGGTATGAACCCTTCACTCCTCAAGGGAGAAATTCTGGGTTTGTAAATTCCCTCATTGTGGGCTGTGTGCCTGGAGATGGGTTTATGACATGATTAGTTCTTGGTATGGCCTTTTTCTTGTTTGATATGAAAGAATTGTTCAGCTAGTCTTCATGTCTTTTTCAGAGGAAATTGTTCCATATGTAGTTATAGCTTTTAAGTGTGTCCAGGGGAGGAGGGGAGTTCAGGATCTTCTGACATTGCCGTCTTGTACTGCCCTAGCTTTAGAATATAGACATAATATTCAGTTAATTCCAAATATATTTTCAAAATATAGTGCAGTCTTTAACTCTTTGACCCTGAAATCCACATACTGATTATATAGATACTAAGACAAAAGTTCAAAAGGACACAGGCAGTATTTTTACTAAAAGTATATGGGGAAAAAAGCAAATTGAATTAAAAAGTCAACAAAGAGTTTAAAAATTATACATCTATGCCAGACAATGGAACACTATATACCAGATAAGAAGAGCTAAAACTGCATATACTGACATGGGAAGATCTCTTAAGATAAATTGTTATGCAAGTCAGGAAACGACACATTTTGGCGGGGGTGCAGAGAAAGGGGAACCCTCCTACGCTGTTGGTGCGAATGCAAGCTGGTGCAGCCACTCTGGAAAACAGTATGGAGGTTCCTCAAAAAGTTAAAAATAGAGCTACCATATGACCCAGCAATTGCACTACTGGGTATTTACCCCAAAGGTACAAATGTTGTGATCCGAAGCAGTACATGCATCCCGATATTTATACAGCAATGTCCACAATAGCCAAACTATGGAAAGAGCCAAGATGTCCATCAACAGATGAATGGATAAAGAAGATGTGTTATATGGATACAATGGAATATTATGCAGCCATCAAAAGGAATGAAATCTTGCCATTTGCAATGA